TATCAGAGGCTAATATGGATTGGGTACTTCGCAAAGTAATGGGAAACACCTTGGTCCCAGGAGACGGCAAGTTAGGCCCAAATTGGGAAGGTCCTTATAAGGTGGTTGGGTTAGCCGGCAAAGGGGCATACCACCTAGAAGACAAGGATGGCAAGACAATCCTTAGGCCATGGAACACGGCCAATCTCAAGTTATTTTATTTTTAGCTTCTTTCTTTCCAAACATGTGTAATTTCTTTTTCTTCAATAAAAACAATCAATTCTTTTCAGCATGCGTTGTTCTTTGTAAAAGTTAGCTTTAGTGAAGTTAGGAATATTGCAAACCTTTTATTCTAAGTTAGCTGGAAAAACTAACTTAGAGGTTGGCTGGAATGAACCAACACCCTTCCTAAGCCCAGGATAAGGATCCAGGCTGCAGAACGTTTGGTCGGAATAACCAAACATTATTCTAAGTTGGCTGGATTAAACCAACTCTTTGTACTCTTCAGCCAAAGTATGGGTATGGCTGAAGAATGGTTGGCTGGATTAAACCAACTCTTGGTACTCTTCAGCCGAAGTATGGATATGGCTGAAGAATGGTTGGCTGGATTAAACCAACTCTTGGAACTCTTCAGCTGAAGTATGGGTATGGCTGAAGAGTGGTTGACTGGATTAAACCAACTCTTTGTACTCTTCAGCCGAAGTATATACATCATTATAGAACAAGTTTCAGGTGCATGAACAGCTCGCATTGGCACGGGTCCTGGTCCTATCAATTTCAAATATTCTTAAATTCTTAGCTGAAATACCTTGAGATATTCTAGAACAGTTTTTTTGCTACATTTACCTTCATAGCCAGTATTGAGATAAAATTAAAAGTCTCCAACTGAGGTAGATCGCTCACAAATCTTGTGAGGGCATAAATTCCACCATCCAGTCTGCTCTCTCCAGTGAAATTCAGAAAAGCTTCAGCCAGCCTTGGGACATTTTTGAAGTATAAGCTAATTAAGTGACCAGTATATTCCAACAAAACAAGATCCTTTGCACATAACTCCATCGCCTGCAATCTGATACAGTTTTGTACACTCAAAAGCTTCAGCCGGAGGTTTGGACCAGCAAATTTTAAATTGACAAGATCATTGCACAGATGCAAACTTAATCCTTCAAGAAACAAGCAACTTGATAAGAGATTCTCTAGCTGTTGATCACTGATATTTACTCCTTGCAGTTGAATGGTACTCAGAGAGGTGAGACTGCTGGAACCTGGAGGAGCACTGAGACTGCATGAGGCCAGTTGCAGATGCTTTACACTACATCTTTTTCCAGCTGCAACAAGAAGCCAGCAAGGGAACTCGTATTTTTCTGATGCAGTAGAAGAGGCATGATCCACCATAAAGCTACATGACTCTGATAAGTCAAGATCAATGTTTTCAACTCCCTTTGTGATTGCACAACTGATCCACTGATCTATGTGAAGAGCAGAATCCTTGCTCAAGGGAAATTGGACAGCAAAAGAGTCCACTTTTGTGCCTTTGCATCGTTGGTGCATAAAGTGATTGACCCACTTTAGAAACTTACACCTCTGCAGTTTTCTATCCAACTCAGATTGACAATTAGATATGCTGTTGGAGTAAACAATGCTCCCAAGTATATTAGCAGAATCAAAATAGAGGTCAGCATGATCAATCCAAATGAACTGCCATCGTTCTGATAGGACGCTAGTTCTCACAGCCTCTTTCAATGGCAGCATAGAAATGATTTTGGAAAGAATCCCATCTGGTAGTTGAATAAGTTGATCCTCCTTTCTCCGCCAATTAAAAAAAAAAAAAAAAAAGCATCAGCAAACTACTTCTGCAAGGAAAGTCACAACATCTTTATGTTTCAAAACTATAGAATCAAATTCTTCTTCCCAATATGTTACAAAAAGCTTCTTACAGTCAATTTAGCAGCTTTTTGTCGTCGACCCATCATGTTATCCTTCAAAGTTTAGGTACTCATCTTAACCTCGTCTGGGAGACTTATGTAAAGAGAAACTGAATGGAGAACAACCACCTATGCAGCGAGATGCTTATGAGGGCACACAGGAAGGACTCTTTCTATCTCTTTTGGTTGTTTGATAAAGCTTGGGCAAAACAACTGTAAGAAACCAAAAAAAACAAAAAAAAAGAAAAAGAAAAGAGTTACTCGGCTTATATGTTCTAGGATAAATTTCTAATTATCAATCAGCACGTTGCAAATGGAAAAACAAGTATTTGGCGATATGAACAACAAGGCACTAGAAAACTTGATCTAGTTTGCTTCCATAAAAAGGTTAACATGTACTTACATTTAACTGTAGTTTTTGCAATAAAGGAAAAGCCTTCAGGACATAACTAATCCAGCAGAGTTTGTCTTCATCATCAAATGGAAAAACAGTCAGCACAAATTGCTTGATATTGGTGAATGTAGGCCCAGTTTCCGGAAGATTCAGTATCTGAAATGGAAAGGTTACAAACTTAGCATGCATTATATAAATTATAAAATAAAAACAAAAACAAAAACAAAAAAGAGACTACACAGAAGACTCTGCATAAGTGGCAAGGTTGGATATGCAGAGAGTATGACTCACTGTCAACACTAATCCAATGGCATAGGAATCAGGACTAAACTCACTGTGAACTGGAACTGGAAAACTATTCTATTTAAATACATCATTATAGAACAAGTTTCAGGTGCATGAACAGCTCGCATTGGCACGGATCCTGATCCTATCAATTTCAAATATTCTTAAATTCTTAGCTGAAATACCTTGAGATATTCTAGAACAGTTTTTTTGCTACATTTACCTTCATAGCCAGTATTGAGATAAAATTAAAAGTCTCCAACTGAGGTAGATCGCTCACAAATCTTGTGAGGGCATAAATTCCACCATCCAGTCTGCTCTCTCCAGTGAAATTCAGAAAAGCTTCAGCCAGCCTTGGGACATTTTTGAAGTATAAGCTAATTAAGTGACCAGTATATTCCAACAAAACAAGATCCTTTGCACATAACTCCATTGCCTGCAATCTGATACAGTTTTGTACACTCAAAAGCTTCAGCCGGAGGTTTGGACCAGCAAATTTTAAATTGACAAGATCATTGCACAGATGCAAACTTAGTCCTTCAAGAAACAAGCAACTTGATAAGAGATTCTCTAGCTGTTGATCACTGATATTTACTCCTTGCAGTTGAATGGTACTCAGAGAGGTGAGACTGCTGGAACCTGGAGGAGCACTGAGACTGCATGAGGCCAGTTGCAGATGCTTTACACTACATCTTTTTCCAGTGGCAACAAGAAGCCAGCAAGGGAACTCGTATTTTTCTGATGCAGTAGAAGAGGCATGATCCACCATAAAGCTACATGACTCTGATAAGTCAAGATCAATGTTTTCAACTCCCTTTGTGATTGCACAACTGATCCACTGATCTATGTGAAGAGCAGAATCCTTGCTCAAGTGAAATTGGACAGCAAAAGAGTCCACTTTTGTGCCTTTGCATCGTTGGTGCATAAAGTGATTGACCCACTTTAGAAACTTACACCTCTGCAGTTTTCTATCCAACTCAGATTGACAATTAGATATGCTGTTGGAGTAAACAATGCTCCCAAGTATATTAGCAGAATCAAAATAGAGGTCAGCATGATCAATCCAAATGAATCGCCATCGTTCTGATAGGACACTAGTTCTCACAGCCTCTTTCAATGGCAGCATGGAAATGATTTTGGAAAGAATCCCATCTGGTAGTTGAATAAGTTGATCCCCCTTTCTCTGCCAATTAAAAAAAAAAAAAGCATCAGAAAACTGCTTCTGCAAGGAAAGTCATATGTTTCAAAACTATAGAATCAAATTCTTCCCAATATGTTACAAAAAGCTTCTTACAGTCAATTTAGCAGCTTTTTGTCGTCGACCCATCATGTTATCCTTCAAAGTTTAGGTACTCATCTTAACCTCGTCTGGGAGACTTATGTAAAGAGAAACTGAATGGAGAACAACCACCTATGCCACATGAAAGCAGTAGTCAATTAAGGCCATGTTTGTTTGGACAGACTGGATTAGGTTGGATTAGCATTCCTATGACTAATAGTCCTAGGACTACGAATTCCTTTGTATTGTGTATCATATCCTATGTTTGAATTGAGTTAGGATTACAAGGACGGACTAATAGTCCAGATTTCGGCTTAGTCTTCTAATTTCTATCCCACCCTCTTCTGTGAGATTAAATAGTCCATCATATGTGGGATACCATATTTGGTTGGATTGTTAATCCGTACTTCAATTGTTTAACCAAACATCGGATTAATAATTTTATTAGTCTAATCCCAAACTCATGTCCACCCAAATAAACCTGGCCTAAAGGTGATACTACAGGCATCACTGTGCCAATAGTGTGTCTCTGTTTTAATCAAAGCAGTAGTCAATTAAGGGTGATACTACAGGCATCACTGTGCCAATTCTGTGTGTCTGTACATGGACAAAACACCCAGAATTTTATTTCTTTCATTAATAGTACTAAGTAATTAGAGCTAAATAATTAACATGATTCAAATACTGATGAAGATGCTGTCAAAGAAAAGAAAATTTCCTTAATGACATAGTTTTTTGGTAAAGAAGGATACCAAAAAATGATTATGATTATTTTTACGCTGGAACTTATTAAAAGGTAAAAAATAAAAAGACCACATCCAAATGCGAGGCAGTGAAGGGGAGAAACTCCAGAATGTGCCAAACGTATACATGTGGAAGCTTGCAGGTAGCCCTAGACGATTGTTCAAACATAAAGTCAATCTGATTCTGTATCTAACATTTTTTTTTTTTGATAAATAACCAAACTTTATAAGAAAAGCATCAAGAAGATGCAAAGAATACAAACTAGAAGCCACAAAGGCTCAACAAATCAATAAGTCAAATCCTGCACAGAATCTACAAATGCCAAAACATCGGGATCAACCGAACAAATCAACCAACTATGCAAAACGACAAGTCAACGTTCCAACCAAGGAACCGAATGAGACACCCCTTGAAAAACACGCCTATTACGTTCCAACCAAACCAACCAAACAATACAATGAGAAGCAAGCAACCACGCTTTCCGCCGCCGCCTACCAACACGACCCCCCATCCAACTTTGCAAAACTGCCATAACTGAAACTGGTTGCACCTAGGCCAAACCAAAAGTCGCGACCACAAGCATCCATAGACGATGAATAACTGGACAATGAACGAGCAAATGGGCCACTGACTCCGCGGCCCCACAACACATGCAGCACCAATTAACCAATATATGGCCACAGAGAATTAGATTATCCAATGTCAAGATACACCCCAACATAGCTGTCCACACAAAAAAGGCCACCTTGGATGGCGAACCTGACACCCAGACACATTTCCACGGAAAAACAACAGCCTCCGCAGGGGCTAGCACAGCATAATACGAAGACACAGAAAACTTCCCCTTAGCCCCAGGACAATTCCACACCAAAGAGTCCTGCCCAGCCCTCCCAACTCGCAACTCATAAAAAACCCAACAACGCCATCAACTGATCCTGCTCCCAATCCTGAATAGCACGGCGCAAGTGCACATTCCAAACAATCGAATCCCCATGGCCACACTTGACATCACCCACCATAACCTCTCTATCAACAGCAAGAGCATAAATCAAAGGGAACCGCACTTCCAATGGAACGTCACCACACCACCTATCCCGCCAAAATCGAATTCTATCTTCCACCCCTACTTGGAGCAAAACCCTCCTCCAAAACTCCTCTCACCCCAACCAAATCCCTTTCCGAAGACCATAGCCATGCGATTGCCCCACCCTCCCTGAACACCACCCTCCCTGCCCCAACCCAAACTTCGCAACCACCACCCTCCTCCAAAGGCGATCCCTCTCCTCCACAAAACGCCACCACCACTTACCCAACAAAGCCACATTAAACAGGACCAACCTCCGAACCCCTAAACCCCCATGAACCTTGGGACTACAAATCCGATCCCAAGCCACCAAATGATAAGAACCCTCCCCCCTATTTCCCTAGAGGAAATCCCTCTGCAACCGCTCAATCCTTGTTGCTACAGACACCGGAATCACATGAACGGACATAAAAGTAAGTCGGAATGCTGGACAAGACACTTTTAATCAACGTAAGTCTGCCATCTTTAGATAAATACTGTCTTTTCCAGCCTGCCAAGCGCCGCTGAACACGGGCTACCACCCCATCCCAAACCCCCGTTGCCTTGAAAGATGCCCCTAGAGGTAAACCCAGATATGAAACTGGGAGAGGCGCCACCCTACAGCCCATAATAGCTGCCAATACCGAAATCCGAGCCACATCTTCCACTGGAATTAGCTCCGACTTTGCCAAATTCACCTGAAGGTCCGACACTGCCTCAAAACACAACAACACACATCTCAAATGACCAATCTGAGTAACATCCGCAGCGCAAAAAATAAGCGCGTCATCTGCATAAAACAAATGCCAAACCGTCAAAGCTATTGGAGCCCGTCCCACCTCAAGCCCATGCAACAAACCACCTTGTACTACTCTAGATAACAAACGCCCCAACGCCTCCATCACCAAAATGAACAGTAACGGAGATAAAGGATCTCCTTGACGTAAACCTCTATACGAAGGAAAGAATCCAGCTGGAGACCCATTAACCAGAACCGACATTCGCACCGTAGATATACAGAATTGAATTCACCTCCGCCACCTTTCTCCAAAACCCAATCTGTCCAGCATATACAATAAAAATTTCCAATTGACATTATCATATGCCTTTTCGATATCAAGTTTGCAAATAAGCCCTGCTTGGTCCTGGCGAATCCTAGAATCCACACACTCATTCGCCACTAAAACCGCATCTAGAATTTGCCGCCCACCCACAAAAGCATTCTGAGACTCGGAAACCACCCCATCCAACACACTACGCAACCGATTAGCCAACACTTTTGCCAACAACTTGTACACACTGCCCAAAAGACTAATAGGGCGAAAATCCCGAATATCCTCTGCCCCACCCTTCTTGGGAATCAAAGCAATAAATGTGGCATTGAGACTATGCTCAAACTCCCTGGTCTGAAAAAATTGCTCAAACATAGCAATCACATCTGCTTTCACCACCCCCCAACAGTGTTTGAAAAATGCTATCGAAAAGCCATCGAGACCCGGAGCCTTATCACCAGGCATACTCCGCAAAGCCGCAAACACCTCCTCTTCTGCAAAAGACCGTTCAAGCATGCAGCTATCTGCCTCTGAAATAACATCAAACACAATTCCATCCAGACATGGCCTCTACACCTCCTCCTCGTCCCGAAATAGATGCTCATAGAATCCCACAATCACGACCTTAACCTCCTCTGAAGAAGACAACTCCATACCATTTACTCGTAATCTGCCAATCTGATTCACCCGACGATGAGCATTAGCCATACGATGGAAGAATTTGGTATTACGATCCCCATCCTTCAGCCACAAACATCTAGACTTTTGACGAAAGCTAATCTCCTCCATACGTGCAATTTTGCCAAACTCCTTACGAACCCCATTCGGACGAACCAAATCCGCCGCGGATAAGCCCCCCACAGTCTCTATCTAATCCAATTCCTGCAACATAGCTAACACATTGGCCTTCTGAACCGCCAGGTGCCCAAACACCTCCTTATTCCACTGCTTCAAATCAGACTTGAGAAGTTTCAATTTCTGCGCTAAGCGACAACTCGGCAGACCAGACACACGATAACTGTCCCACCAACCCTGCACCCGGTCCTTGAAACCCTCCGACAACAGCCACATATTTTCAAACCGAAACGGCGCGGGACCACTCCTGATACCCCCACTATCCAATAAGACTGGCCAATGATCTGAGACTGGATGTTGCAACCGAAGTTGAGTCACTTGTGAGAAATGCTCCTCCCACTCCCGTCACCAAAAATCTATCTAGCTGAGACATCGCACCACCCCCAGACCAAGTATAACCGCCCCCTTACAGTGGCAAATCCACAAACTCTAGGTCATTAATGAATGAAGAAGAAGCCCGCATAGAAGCCACCACTGAACTTGCTCCCATCTTCTCGTCCACACTCCTAACCACATTAAAGTCTCCACCCACATACCAAGGAACCTCCTATCGAAAAGCAATACACTGTAACTCATTCCAGAAACTAGGCCGCTCCCCTCCACGAACCGGTCCATATACCCCTGTAAAGGCCCAACGGAAATCATCCGCAATACATCGAAATAGACATGATACCGAAAAAGTCCCCACCTCTTCCTCCTCCATTTCCACCACCCTCTTATCCCAACAAAGAAGAACTCCCCCTGCCACCCTTAGAGCAGGTAAATACGTCCAAGCCACATACCGACCACCCCACAACTCTCGAACTAACTCCCCCTCCACACACCCTAACTTGGTCTCCTAGAGACACACCACATCCGCCCTCGCATTTTTTAATACAGATTTTACCAACACCCTTTTCCCTTTATCATTTAACCCACGCACAGTCCAAGACAGAATTTTTAACCGCATTGCAACAACAGCTGATTTGCAAGACTCTTCCTTGCACCCTATCCATCCCCACACTTATGTCGATCATAATTTATGGAACACTTTAGTTTCCGTAATTCTCGGACACTCCGCCCATTCTGCGCCACCGGATCCACCTCTTGCCGAACAGGAGCACCCTCCTTCCGTGTCTCCTCAATTGCAATAAATAAATTCATTGCCTCATCCTCGTGACCCTCAAAAGAAACCCCCAGAAATTGACTAACCTCGTGTATTCGAGAGAGAACCCAATTCGAGACCTCCTCTGTGCTCGGAGACTCTTTTCCTAAAAAATTTGGTGGGTCGTCAGGTTCAGCTGCAGCATCCAGTACCTGTTCCCCATGACACGCCACTTCAGGACACACCACCATAGCTAGCTCATCCACTGAGTCTGCCCAGCGAGCCTCTACCACATCCTCCACTATCTCTCGCTTATCCCGACAGCCGATATCGTCACAGACCCACCCTTACCCAACTGACACCCATCATCGGCTAAACCTTGTGACGACTGTACCTCCACAGACCCACCACCGATAGCCCCCACAGGAAGTCGCGCAACCTCCCCTGACAAGCCCACCTCGCAAACTGGCTTGCTAGGCCCAACCCCAGCACGGAGCGAAGCAAAAACCCGACTGATAGACGGATTAGGTTGCTCAGGTTGGCCTGAAACAAACCCTCGTAGGTTGGGTTAGTTGATATGAGC